AGAAGAGAATCAATAGCAGGAAACATCAAAGATTCTTCATGATTATGCAGTTATATAACAAATTTAAAACAGTCTAACTACATCAACAAATGGGTGCACAAATCAGCAGTAAAATCTAAACAGTTGTTATGATTTCATAAACAATTAGAAAAAATGAAATATAGGTCTTCTCATCTTCAGCTTTAAGTATTCCAAGCCCTTGAGGTTCAATAATAAATATCGCCTGATATTCACCTCTGTCATTGGCCCACTTTCTCCACTTGGTGACTCCAAGTGTTTGTTAGTTTGCCTACATATTATATCTCCACAGTCTTCTTGGTCTGCCTTGTGGTCTTCTATTTCCCAACTCTTGTGGAATTCTAACCAAACTGCCCGCTGACGCTCTGAAAAGATGTTTCCAGTTAGCTATGCTAATGCGAACTCCCCATTTTTGGATTAGAAGTCCAAAGGCTCCATCACCTAGCTACTGAGCTGAATGCTTGGTGCGACACTATTTGTGGTTTTCATGTCGAAATGTGCGCCCATGGCGTATTGTTAACTATAATAAAATGGGTGTGTACTGTTGCGCACGTAAAAAATCCCTTGGCAGTTTGAGATCGCAAATAGAAGCCTAACGGCCCTGTCCGAGCAAAATTTGGAGTTTTAAAATCTACACAAAGCAGTTCGTGCACTGCGCTGAGATGCCTCAGACACAGGATTGAGTTAGAAGAAGAACGGAGACCCTATGGGTTACACCCGTGTGCCAGGATCTTGATCCGCTGAATAAACAAACAATACAGAAACTGGCCCCTAGCTTTTTTTCTGAATATCACGACCAGTCCCGCTCGGTAGACTTTCTTAGTATGATACAAATCTTCGAAATGCCGCCCTCAAGTAGCTTCGCGCTGTTAGATCAAAAGTTCACACTGTAGTTTCCTTTCTGTTCTTATGCCGCCCCCTTGCGGTGCTGACTAATGCAGCCGAATCTTGTTATTATAGCACGGCACGGCCCCGGTAATAACACAATGCCGAGGGCACATAAATAAGGCATTCATAGTGTTGGACGAGTACTGAACTCGGTTGCTTTGGCAACAAATCCTTGAACTCCAGTCCCTTTGTAGAAATTGCTTTAACAGACCATGGATCACGTGACCCTTGTTCACGCGATGTCTGATTAACATACATTCAGACCATGCATCCATCCATACATCCTACCATCTATCCATCCATGCTCTCATCCACCCATCTTTCCTATCACATATTCATCTTCATCCACTTAGCCTATTCATCGATTTGTCCATCCACTCATCGCTCCCCGCGTTTCTTTGCACACTCACCAGCTGTACAATGAATCACTAGTTTCTGCTACCTACAAAGCAGGTATCTTAGGGAACACGATGTTTTTGCGCTTGGGCTCGATTGATACTTTGCATAACAACCATCCTTACTGTCTTGACTTGCTTAGTGACAGTGAGAGAGAAGCATCACATCATGAGACCCTTGTTTTTACCTGATTAATATATTAGCATACATATAGGCCGATCCATCCATCTATCTACCATTGCATCTATCCACGAACATAGCCATCGTCCCACCAATTCATCTACCACACCATTTATCCCATCATCCACTCAATGCTATTTTCCACCGCTCCCTTATTCTAGCTGTTACCAGCTTTGCGCTTGGGCTCAACCAATACTTTGTATATAAATCACCCTTACTGTCTCTATTTGATAGCTGACAGTATGAGAGAAGCACTGTGTTATTAGACCCATGTTTTTACCTCATTTCATATATAGGCCGATCCACCCATTCATCTATCATTCCATTCATCCACAAATACAGTCATCCATCATTCCAACCATTCATCTACCCACCCTTCTATTCCACGACCCACTCATCCATTCACTCCACCATCCGCACTTGCCCTTTTCCCATCCGTCCTCCAATCGCTCCTTCACATTCTGGTTGATACCAGTTTTACACTTGGGCCCGACTGATTACTTTGTATAACAGGCATTCTTACTATCTCTATCAATAGCTGACAGTAAGAGAGAAGCATCTTATCACGAGACACCTGTTTTTACCCGATTTTATATATTAGCAATTCCGTTCATCCACTAATAAAGCCATCCTTTACCCATCCATTCATCTATCCACCCATCTATCTCACCACCCACTCACCCCACCATCCACCCATGCTATTTTTCCATTGTTCCCTTACATTCTGGTTTTTACTATCTCTGTGCTCGGTTCGACTGATACTTTGTATAACAATCACCATCACTGTCTCTATTTCATAGCTGACAGTAAGAGAGAAGCATCGTGATTTGAGACCCTTGTATTTACCTGATTTCATAAACTGGCACACATTTAGGCCGATCCATCCATCTATTATACTTTCAATTCACCCACGAGTATAGCCATCCATCATTCCGTCTATTTGTCTACCCGCCGATTTAGCCAACCACCCACTCATCCTTTCACCCCACCATCCACGATTTCTCTCTCTCTCTCTCTCTCTCTCTCTCTCTCTCTTTCTCTCTCTCTCTCTCTCTAATCTATCTATCTATCTATCTATCTATCTATCTATCTATCTATCTATCTATCTATCTATCTATCTATCTATCTATCTATCTATCTATCTATCTATCTATCTATCTATCTATCTATCTATCTATCTATCTATCTATCTATCTATCTATCTATCTATCTATCTATCTATCTATCTATCTATCTATCTATCTATCTATCTATCTATCTATCTATCTATCTATCTATCTGTCTGTCTGTCTGTCTGTCTGTCTGTCTGTCTGTCTGTCTGTCTGTCTGTCTGTCTGTCTGTCTGTCTGTCTGTCTGTCTGTCCGTCCGTCCGTCCGTCCGTCCGTCCGTCTGTCTGTCTGTCTGTCTGTCTGTCTGTCTGTCTATCAGCATGCCTGTCTGCCGGTCTGCCTGCCTGTCTGTTGATATTTGTTTTGCTAGCACAGGCACCACTTTTATTCCATGCGGATGGATTAATGTCATCCCCTATACCCAACCCTGGTTACGCCTTATTGGCCAACCCCTCGCTCTTTAGACACTTAGTGTACGCTGTTGTGACTGTGGGCGACTTAGCCCATTTCCTAGGTATACTGACCCTGTTTTTCGCTCCCTGTCCGAGCGTTGGTGATATATAGGCTAGTACCTGTCCTAGTCATCCTCTTGAACGAAGTTTTTCGCCAAGGACATAGATGAGTATCCTTTATTTTGTACATTAGAGACCTATGTAGTCACTTCATAGTTGGAGCATATTTGTGCATATGTACTGCGTTGTTCTTTATGTGCTGACAAAGGCTAATCGCCGCAACGTCCTTTGTTTATTGTGATCGATTTTGTAAAGCTAACATAAACTGTTTGTTCTTTCTTACCTACTTTTTCTCTTCCCTATAATTTTCTACCCCTTTAAAAACAAACAACACTTGAAGACTTTAACGGACTGCAGCTTATCTGCCATACTGGACCGGAAGTCGTTTGGTTCGTTATTCCCTTTGCGTTCACAACGTCTCTATTTGTGTTGTTTATTGTAACTCTTTCTTACCACTGGCAGCTTTTAATGTGTCTAATAATTCTTGAAATTCATAATTCATTCTTGCTTGAAACATAATGTTACCAGCTAAAGGCCTATTGTTACCCCTTCCCATTATTATACGATCTGTCAGATGAACTTTGTCTTTCATGTCCCCGTTTTCTGAACTTAGAGCTGTTACACTTTATGGCAGTGCCCCATGTGTTTTGAGATAAATCCTTATTGGATAGGTGATGTGATCAGTATCACGTCGGACGCCTTTGCGTTCAAGAACAGTTTCTGGTAAATAATGTCAAGCCGGACCAACTTCGATATAGATTCTAACCTAAAACCACCGGGTATAGAGTCAAGAAGGCTAGCCAATGGGTTACTGTTGGTTTTAAAAAAGTAGATTGCCTTCTGTTGGTATGGGTAATATGTATTGCCGTTTGTTTCCACAGATTTCATGGACGTGACAGCCATGATCTTTGTGGGGTTCGGCATGTTGATGACCTTTCTGAAGAACTATGGGTTCACCTCTGTTGGGGTCAACATGTTGCTGAGTGTTGTCTTCATCCAATGGGCGGCCATTGTCAGGGGCTTCATCTACGTGGACATCTTTGGAGGGGAGAAATTTCACATGGGCGTGGGGGAGTAAGTGGAGTTAGAGGTCCTGACTGACAGGTGTATGGGTGATTGGACAGACAGACAGACAGACAGACAGACAGACAGACAGACAGACAGACAGACAGACAGACAGACAGACAGACAGACAGACAGACAGACAGACAGACAGACAGACAGACAGACAGACAGACAGACAGATGGATGGTGGGTAGATGTATTGATAGGCGGCAAACATTCAGACAGGCATATATAGAACCACAAGAATTTTTTTTTTAAAAGGAGAAGTGAAGTGACATAAATATAAACAATGTAAAGACAAATAGTAGATGGACAGACAAAGATAGAAAAGGACAGTGACACAAAAAATGGAGAGAGATAGAGAAAGAGAGAACGTGAGAAAGAGAGAGAGACAGAGTGAAAGACAGAGTAAAAGAGGACAAGAGAGATAGGGGCAGCGACAAAGAAAAACGTAGAGAGAGAGAGAGAGAGAGAGAGGGGGGGGGGGGAGACTGTTTGCATCAACAGTGAACTGCAATTCTGGTAGGATATTAGTGCTGTCCCATCTGACTGCTGCCTTATGTATTTACTTTGCATGTGTAATTTTCAAGATTTTTCTGGGACTGACATTTTTTTTTTCAAATGGGACAGTGACAAATATTTTGTGTGATTTTTACTGGTACCGGGACGGAGAAGCTACGGGATTTCTCGTCTGTAGTGAAGCTACAACCTCAGCTAACGACAACTGATTAAACCACGGGGTTAGAAGGACCCTTTACTACTGAAGCATATTGTTAGTATAGTCAGTTATCTGTTGTTGTTGTCAACGTGTCTTCCATTCTCCTGCCACAGGATGGTCACCTACGACTTCGCCACAGCCACGCCGCTCATTTCCTTTGGGGCGGTGCTGGGAAAGACCAGCCCTGTCCAGCTGCTCATGATGGGCGTCATTGAGATTGTGCTGGCTCAGCTCAACGAGTACATCGGCGTAGAGCTTCTACATGTAAGCCTGGAGATTTAGTTCATATGCCTGCACTTTTTTGCATATTATGGCACCTGTTGTTATGTTCCATTTCATATAGGTCACTTGTTGATTATTTTCTGCTGTCGTTCGACAACCTAATTTGTTATCGATGTATTGCTCAGAGGGCGTTATGTTGACCACATCACCCACATAATGCCGATTGGTCTATAAAATAAAGGTATAGCCCTATATGCCCGAAGGCGTGGGAACGAGTCCTTTACATTTTACGTATAATTTGCTCAAAGCCCCATTCAATGCAGTACTTTTACCAACACTGTGTTGCCAGTTACAACAAAAAATAATGTTGAATATTGAATTAAGAATCGACATCACAGCACTCGGGACACCCCCATAAGTGCTCAGTCCCCATCTTCAGCAGCAAGCGAAGAGTTTCAATTCCGATGGTACCAGTAACCGTCTGATTGTATATTCGTCTCATTCTTCCCCTGAGTGTTGAGCGTCGGCCAGATTCCAACAAAAAGAAAAATAACTATCAAAACAACATTAATGAAATGTCTACAACGAATCTTAAATGTAACAACTCCCATTTTGTTAAAAGTTATCTTTAGTTTATAATAGGCTGTGGACGTCCCTGCGCTCATTTCAGACGGCAAGACACTTGATGATTATGTATTATTGCTATTATTGTGCATTAACCTGTCCTGTTACTGTTGTTGGTCAAAAAGGCCGGTATGATTTACCCTCTGACGTCCTTGACATCTCCACAGGTCAAGGATATTGGCGAGTCTATATTCATCCACATATTTGGCGCCTATTTCGGGCTGGCTGTCGCCAGAGTTCTGTTTTCTGAAGACATCGACAAATCTGATAAAGAAGGAACTGTTTATCATTCTGATTTATTTTCTATGATCGGTAAGATTTTGTTGTTTCTGATTCTCTTGTTTTTATTTCTGCCCTGTCCAGTCTGCTCCGGTGTGGGTGGTTATATTTTTCATCATCAGCATTATTATTATTATTATTATTATTATTATTATTATTATTATTATTATTATTATTATTATTATTATTATTATTATTATTACACCCTCCTTCTTTTCCTGAGCCTCAGCCTCTTCTTTCTTTCTTTCTTTCTTTCTTTCTTTCTTTCTTTCTTTCTTTCTTTCTTTCTTTCTTTCTTTCTTTCTTTCTTTCTTTCTTTCTTTCTTTCTTTCTTTTTCTTTTTCTTTCTTTCTTTTTCTGTCTTTCTTTCGTTTCTTTCTTTCTTTCTTTCTTTCTTTCTTTCTTTCTTTCTTTCTTTCTTTCTTTCTTTCTTTCTTTCTTTCTTTCTTTCTTTCTTTCTTTCTTTCTTTCTTTCTTTCTTTCTTTCTTTCTTTCTTCTCCTCCTCATCCTCCACCACCACCAGCTTTCTCCTCCTCTTCCTCCTCCTTCTCCTCCTCCTCCTTCTTCTTCTTCTTCTTCTTCTTCTTCTTCTTCTTCTTCTTCTTCTTCTTCTTCTTCTTCTTTTTCTTCTTCTTCTTCTTCTTCTTCTTCTTCTTCTTCTTCTTCTTCTTCTTCTTCTTCTTCTTCTTCTTCTTCTTCTTCTTCTTCTTCTTCTTCTTCTTCTTCTTCTTCTTCTTCTTCTTCTTCTTCTTCTTCTTCTTCTTCTTCTTCTTCTTCTTCTTCTTCTTCTTCTTCTTCTTCTTCTTCTTCTTCTTCTTCTTCTTCTTCTTCTTCTTCTTCTTCTTCTTCTTCTTCTTCTTCTTCTTCTTCTTCTTCTTCAGGTGAGCGGAGAGACTAAGCAAGAGATGTAGAAACCGTAAACATACGGACTACAAATAAAGGCAAACGCAACATTAACATCTTCAAAATATCAGATGACGTAAAGGGTGGATAGAAGAAGAAGAAGAAGAAGAAGAAGAAGAAGAAGAAGAAGAAGAAGAAGAAGAAGAAGAAGATGAAGAAGAAGAAGAAGAAGAAGAGTGACCATGTGTCCCGTTTTAAGTTGTGTCCTGGCTGTCCCGAGGGTACTTGCACAAAACGCCAATTGTCTGGTTTTTATTTTAAAAATCTGGAAATTAAAATTAACTCCAGAAAAGAACTTAAAATTATATTTATATTGTAGATATTAGATTTCACAGTTTTATATAGTTTTTGATGACTTAAATGTGTTGATGTAAATTATGATTGCTAAATTAATTTTTTTTTTCACTGCATTTAAAAAGCACATTGTTGCGTTTATTCATAGGCGATAATATGAGTAATGACAAGTAAAGATCCTTTTTCACGCCTTAGGCGTATCGGGCATATGGGAAGAGCACCCATATTTTTACAGACCAATCGGCACTAGATGGGTAATGTGGTCAGAATTACGCCGGCCGTCTTTACTTCCCCAGGACTTACATCCTGGTACCCATTTTAGGCTGGGTCGACCTGCGACGCCCCGTACTTTGATAAAAATCCACGCAGCCAGCAGGTTTCGATTGCGGTACGTTGGAATTAGGAGTTTGACCCGCAACGCATAAGCCACGGACGCTGCTAAGCGATAATGGTTCGGGTTTAGTATCACCGAGGAGCAAGTCATTAACCCTTTCATCTCGGTGAAAGAGAAAGAAAAGGAATAGAGACTTAAACTGACTTGCTTGTGTTGTCCCGTTATCAGCTCAAAAATAATGGTGGGATGTTCCCTTGTCAGCTCAAAATAATAGTGGGATGTTCCCTTGTCAGCTCAAAATAATAGTGGGATGTTCCCTTGTCAGCTCAAAATATAAGTGGGATATCCCGTTTTTCAGTTCAAGATATTATGTTCACCCTACCCTACAGGCACACTATTTCTCTGGATCTTTTGGCCTTCGTTCAATGGAGGATTCGCTGACGACCAGCAGCAGAGAGACCGGGCTTATCTCAACACGTTCCTCTCACTGTGTGCCTGCTCCGTGATGACTTTTGCCGTGTCGGCGATCGTTGACAGTAGAGGCAGGTTCAGTATGGTAGGCTGAATTTCTTTTCTGTGTGTGATGGTGGTATATGTGTGTATGTGTTTATATGTGTATTTGTTTTGTTTACCTGTCTACTTGTTTGTCTAAAAATTACCTACCAAATCTGCCTATTTATCCCCAGTTGAGAGCCCCCCACCTCCCCCCCCCCTTTTTTTGTTTGTTCCGTCATTGATAACAGCGAATAAGAATTTGGGTGGGGAGGAGAAGGAGAAGGATGAGAAGGAGGAGAAGGAGAATGAGGAGAAGGGGGAGAAGAGGAAGAAGGTTTAGGGATAAACAACGGATCAACATCATCGCACAAGGGTAGTAACCCTTACGTGCTCCGTTCTACTTCGAACTCCGCCCGCCCGCCCGCCCGCCCATCCATCTATCTATCTATCTATCTATCTATCTATCTATCTATCTATCTATCTATCTATCTATCTATCTATCTATCTATCTATCTATCTATCTATCTATCTATCTATCTATCTATCTATCTATCTATCTATCTATCTATCTATCTATCTATCTATCTATCTATCTATCTATCTATCTATCTATCTATCTATCTGTCTGTCTGTCTGTCTGTCTGTCTGTCTGTCTGTCTGTCTGTCTGTCTGTCTGTCTGTCTGTCTGTCTGTCTGTCTGTCTGTCTGTCTGTCTGTCTGTCTGTCTGTCTGTCTGTCTGTCTGTCTGTCTGTCTGTCTGTCTGTCTGTCTGTCTATCTATCTATCTATCTATCTATCTATCTATCTATCTATCTATCTATCTATCTATCTATCTATCTATCTATCTATCTATCTATCTATCTGTCTATCTATCTGTCTATCTGTCTGTCTGTCTGTCTGTCTGTCTGTCTGTCTGTCTGTCTGTCTGTCTGTCCGTCCGTCCGTCCGTCCGTCCGTCCGTCCGTCCGTCCGTCCGTCCGTCTGTCTGTCTGTCTGTCTGTCTGTCTGTCTGTCTGTCTGTCTGTCTGTCTGTCTGTCTGTCTGTATGTCTGTCTGTTTCAGTATGAATTGGTCTGTGTGTGTTTCTGTGTGTTTAAGTGTGCCTCTTTTCTGTGTATGTGTGTCTGCGTGTGTGTGTGTGCGATTGGATCCATGTAGCTGTGTATATGTGTCTGTGTGTGTGTCTCTGTGTTTGTCTGCATGTGTGTGTGTCTCGGTGTTTTTCTGCATATTTCATGTGACTGTGTGTATATCTGTCGCGCGCCCACGTGGGTAAATACACTGATATAGTGAGGGTGTGGGTTTGAACCTTACAATGCCCACCCACGTGAGAAACTGGACTATTATCTAAGCTATGTTGATCCTAGACAGTCCTGGATAGCCAAGAAAACAGCGAGTGGCTCGTTCCATGAAATGAAAGTTGCTGTACTTGTATCCACAGGAGTAGGAGAAGGGATAGATAGATAACTGGATACACCCACTGTGATATAATCCAGGTGCTCATTTAACCCCTCCGACTGCTCTCCTCTCCTGGCATTACTTAAAAGCCCCCATCAAGTGATTTAAATATTTGTTAGCTGAAGTAAACTAATATGCACAAAGACACTTGAACCTAAGTACACAATTTACTTAACTCTGTTGTAACAACATCACAAAGATTTATTTAATAAATCTGACTAAAATAAAATGAACTTGTTTAGGCTAGTAGAGTTGGGATGATGTTATAGATGACATTAAAGTTGTACATAACTTAACTCCTAGTAGGAGAATTCACCGTCAGGACAGTTCTCGGCTTGAGACCCTGCCTATCTTTTCCAGTTTGTCGTCCTCACTGCTTTCTGCAGGTCGTTACACTCGACGGTCGGCAAATAATGGATGCCTACTAGTCCCTGCCCAATGTGGGAACTGTGATAAAGAAACAAGCGCATATTTGTAGTATCTGCTCTAGATGTACACTAAGCATGTATATTATATACTAAAATCAAGCATGTTTATTTAAATAAAACATTTCATCTCTCCCTCATGCTCACATTCACTCCTGTCCAATTTGGAAGGGCTTATGTCTCACATTCCAACTGTTACATCTTCTGCCTTCCTCTACACGTCCTGTAATGATAGTCAAGTCTTCTACGTCAGGTGCCATCTCTCGTACAGACTCAAAATGACAATCAGTCAGACAGAACCAGTTCTGGAATCTATGATTGGAACAATCGACGCGCCCAGAAAGCTAACAATATTTCTGAGGCGAATCAAATACCAAATCTCAAGGATTTTCTCTCCCGGGATCAATCTCCGCATTAGCCTCCCGAGAGTTAAACACATTTCAGTGTGTAAGCTGTATGTAATACAGATTCACATTAACCACACGTGAAAAGATTGCCAGAGTTATCTTCACGCTTGTGATTTCAAAAACATGATAGTTCATTAAATTTCAATGGCAACAACAACATTTAGGTTTTACAACATTGAAACACATGTGCACGAAAAACCGTTCATGACACTATCAAATAGGAAATAAAGCAATGTGACAGTGCCCTACGCCCTACGAGAATGAAGAAATGTCCGCCTAGGAGTACTACAAAGTGATGAAGACACACACTTGCGTAAAAAGACAGTTAGAACTCTATCATAAAATATAGATTTGAACCTAATTTCGATCTTACCTGGAAAAATGAAACCACGATGCCAAAAGTTCTGTCTCAAGCTTAGGTTAAGCCCAACAGATGGCATGTGCTAGACAGGATCTCATTTACCAGACCTTAAGTTCACCACTTTATAACTTTTATCAAGCTCCTCCTACATTACGCCTAAAATCATTCTCATTCACGGATATCACAGCTCCTCCCTTGTGGGTAAGTTTATTCGCTGTCAGTCAGGGCTGTACAACTATTGTTTGAATTCCCACGCTAGGATCTCCTGGTTCAATTAAGCTGACCAGAGCAAATAAGACAAGTCACACCTCCAGTCTACTTCACCTGTCATCACAATAAAATCCGACTTTGTCAATTCTTCTGCCAACACTTTCCGCTCACTGTGTCAATAGTGACGATCTGACCGGCACTCCAGTTTAGGTAACCTCAGGGGGAGATAATGGCAATTAGCCCTTGTTATATGTTCCTGACGATCTGGCAGGGGGAATAACTATCTGACACCAACAAATGGTGTGCAAATCTCCAGTCAGTAAGTCTGCTTGGTCAGTCTTATCTCTGTACCTTAACATCTAACATCTGGGAAAAAGTTTTAGTGTTTGATATGACCAACGGTCCAGGAGAATTAAAGGTGTGATGTGGTCATCCTATTTAGATTAAGGATGTATCCAAATCCCTATTTGTCTGTATACTTTCAAAATACAAAGAAATAAAAGTAGGTTAAGGAAAGACATTCTGGAGTCACCGAGCGTATTGTCACAATATCTTCGTTTGTGTCTGTGTGTGTCCTCGTATGTGTTCGTCTGAATGTTTGCCTGTGTATGTTTATGTGTTTGTCTGCGGGTGTGTCTATGAGGCTGTATGTATGTATCTTTGTGTGTGGGTGTCTGTATGTCTGTCTGCGTGAGTGTATGTGTCAGCATGCGTCTGTCTGTGTATGTCTATGTGTGGTTCTCTGTGTGTATCGTGTGTGCCCCTTTGTTGTCTGTATGTGTCTGCATGTCAGAGTATATGTCTGTGCGTGCTGAATATATGTGTCTGCGTGTGTATTTCTATGTGTTTGTATGTGTATGCATTACTGCGTGTTTGTCTGTGTGGGTGTCAGATTGTGTTTGTCTGCCTGTTTGTATTTGTGTGTGTGTGTGTGTGTGTTTGACTGCGTGTGTCTCTATGTGTCTGTATGTATGTGTCTGCATGTTTGTCTGCGTGTGTGTGTGTGGTGTGTGTGTAAGTGTGTGAGCACGAATGTAAATATGTGTGCTGTGTGTTTTCCTGTGTGTGTTTATATGTAAGAGTCTGTGTGTGTGTCTGTATTTTTGTCTAAGTGAGCGTGTGTGTCTTTGTGGGAGTGTCTCCATGCATGACTGTATTTATGACTGTATGTTTGTATGTGTGCATGCCTGCATTACGAATGTATGCCTGTATGTTTGTATCTATGTATGTTTGTTTGTATGTATGTATGCCTGTGTGTATGCCTGTTTGCATGTTTGTTTGTATGTATGTACGTATATATGTATGTATGTAATGTTTGCATGCATGTATGTGTGTGTGAGTGGGTGATCGTGTGTATGTGGGTGTATGTATGCACGCGCGGGTTTTTTGCATGCACTTTACAACTCATGCTTTTGTGTTCTTTTATAATATTCACAATATGCATATTATCATATGATCATAACATGCTTTATTAGTAAAAATACAACTGCTAAGCGAAAGATGGTTGACTGGAAGGGCCGAATGTAAGGCGGGCCTGCGTGCCCAATTTGTGACCCTTTGAAAATAAAGTTCGTTCGTTCGTTCGTTCTCTCTGTGTGTGCGTGCATACGTGCGTGTGTGTGTGTACACACACAATCCACGTTGATCCCGGTTTGTGTGCATTTGGTGTCCGACAGGTGCACGTTCAGAACTCAACACTAGCAGGTGGCGTAGTTGTCGGAGCTACAGCCAACATGCCCATGCAGCCGTTCGGAGCCATGATATTTGGTGCTACCGCGGGGATCGTCAGTGTGCTGGGCTACAAGTTCTTGACGGTCAGTGCAATATTTTTCTGTGTATACACACATCTGGTGACATGGTCGCCGATACAAATTAACAAAAATAGTGGGGGAGGGGAAGGAAAAGGGGGGGGGGGGGGGGGGGGGGGGCAACTCTCTTTCAAATTTTTTAAAGGGAGCTTAGTTCTTGCAGGAAAAGCTTAGTGGAAAGTATCAGGTTCGAATGTATACTCGATGAGACCCTAAGAAAATTATAGATGTGAGGCCCCTAGTGTTTTAAATTTAATCAGCCAGTCTTAGAAAACTTTACAATGTATACTCCTTTTAAATATATGGATGATGTAAATATGTTTAGTAAAATAAATAATAAAGAAACAGTGTGAACAATAAAATAGGAATTTGTTGGGGCCCCTGAAGATAGTGACGCCCTGATCTGCAGCTTAGTTAGCTGTAACCTATGGTGCCATTTCAATGGGTTGAAATGAATTCTGTCCGTATTCCATAGTCGTGGATTTCAAGTTGTACGATAGACATGGCCAATGCGACACCTTTTATTGGGGGTGTCTAGTTGACTATGTATCTTAGTGCACTTGTATTCATGGCGAGGCGCAGAAGCCGTCTGGAGGTGACAGGTTCCATTTCCGGCACGGTAACTATAGCTTTCGATTTTTATGTTGCCTAGTGTGTTCTTCTATCTTTCGACTTCTTTCTATGAGTGCCGTTCACAATACTTTCTGTTACTTGATTAATTTATAAATTTAGGAGAGAGGAGTGAGCACTAATTCCCCTAAAATATTGCTTGGGGTCGGGGCCCCTAATCCGCTATTCCGGCGACCTTGACAGGTGCAGATGTGGCACATTGATCAGCACGATTCACTGTTGGCGCTGTGGTAGTAAGTTAAAATTGCCACTGGGGCACATTTTTCCAGTTTGACCGGGCTTTTGATGGGTATCGGAAAATATGCCGAGAAGTAAAGTCGGTTGGAGATGTGAACCACATAATGCATGATAGTTTGATGACATTGCTTTTAATAGTGCGTGTCGTGTTAATTAATTTTGACTAATGACGGTACTTTGGTGTGTTTTTCCCCAGCCATTTCTGGCTAAACATTTGAAGATTCACGACACCTGTGGCGTTCACAACCTTCATGGCATGCCTGGGGTTTTGGCAGCAATCGGTTCCTCGATCCTGGCAGCTGTGTCTGGCACCTGGAGCCTGCATGAGTGAGTTCTTGTCTGTATTACTGAGTGAGTTCTTGTCTGTATCACTGAGTGACTTCTTGTCTGTATGACTGAGTGACTGTGTGGTTGAGTGATTAACCTGAAATAAGGGGTTGAGTTTGTGCTTGTCTCTGTAATTAAGTATGTATCCGGTTGAACGATTAACTTGAACTGAGTGATTAAGTTTGTGGAGGTCTCTCTGTAAAATTAACTGACTAAGCATTTGTGATGTGAGGATGGGTGAATAAATTAGCGATTTATAATATTAGTGAGAGATCGAGTAAGCGTCTATCTGTATTACTGACAACTTGCGAGCATTTTTGTGACTGAGTGATTAGGTACTTGAAGAGGGTAAGATTTAAAAAAAAAAAGAGGGACGATGCGGAAGTTGAGAGGAGAGGAGAGAAAGAGAGAGAGAGAGAGAGAGAGAGAGAGAGAGAGAGAGAGAGAGAGAAAGAGAGAGAACGAACGAACGAACGAACGAACTTTATTTTCAAAGGTTCACAAATTGGGCACGCAGGCCCGTCTTACATTCGGCCCTTCCAGTCAACCATCTTTCGCACAGCAGTTGTATTTTACTAATAAAGCATGTTATGATCATATGATGTTTTGCATATTATGAATATTATAAAAGAACACAAAAGCATGAGTTGTAAAGTGCATGCAAAACGCCGCGCGTGCATACATACACCCGCATACACACGCTCACCCACTCACTTACACACACAAACATGCATGCATACATTCCATACATACATACACAGATACATATAAACAAACATGCATACACACAGGCATACGTACACACAAACACACATACATACATAGATACAAACATACAGGCATACATACATAAATACATACATACGTAGTACAGGCATACACACATACAGTCATAAATCCAGTCATGCATGGAGACACACACATGCACACACGGACACTCCCACAGAGACACAAACACTCAGACAAAAATACAGACACACACACAGACACTTACATATAAACATACACAGGGAAACACACAGCACACATATTTACATTCGTGCTCACACACTGACACACACACCACACATACGCAGACAAACATGCAGACACATACATACAGCCACATAGACACACACGCAGTCAAACACACACACACACACACAAATACAGACAAACAGGCAGACAAACACATACTGACACCCACAAACACGCAGAAATGCATATACATACAAACACATAGAAATACACTAGAGAGCTAGAGAGCTGGTGTATTTCGAAATAATGAAAAGGAGAGATTGAAGACAGACACGAGAGAGTAGCTTAGAAAGACTATAAGCAACAACAATAACAAAAAGAGAGAGAGAGAGAGAGAGAGAGAGAGAGAGAGAGAGAGAGAGAAAGAGAGAGAGAGAGAGAGCTGGGGAGAGAGAGAGATTCCGAGAAAAAGAGGTGGAGACAGAAAGAAGGGATAGAGAATCCAATTCACGTATCCACTGTTCCAGCCGAGCGACCATCTTCCCAGAGACATTCCCAGAGAGTTCATCCGTGGAAGGAGCTTTGGGTCGAACGGCCGGACAGCAGGCAGGCTACCAGTTTCTAGCCGCCATCATTACCTTGGGAATCTCCATCGGCGGTGGTTTATTTACTGGTTGGTATTTTCCTTTTATCTTTTTAAGAACAAGTGTGTGTCCAAATAAACGAATTTCACACCTGGTAGGTGATATTTTTAGGGATCAAAGTCAATGACATAATGGATGACATGTAACTGTCTGGTATATGTCCAAGGATTAGAGGGATCATGTATACAGCATAGGTTGGACACAGATGTTGAAGCATTCTAACAAAATGTCCATACTGTTTTCTCAGTATTTGACACGAGATGTTTTTCCCCAGTCTACCGAACAGTATTGTTTCTCTCTGTTTCGGGCGGTTAGATATGCAACTTTTCTATGTTTTCCCGAGTCTGTCTAACAGTATTGTTTCTCTCTGTCTCGGGTGGTTAGATAGGTGACTTTCCTGTTTTCCCCAGTCTGTCTAACAGTATTGTTTCTGGCTCTGTCTCGGTTGTTAGATAGGCGACTTTCCTCTGTTTTCCCCAGTCTGTCTAACAGTATTGTTTCTCTCTGTCTCGGGTGGCTAGATAGACGACTTTCCTCTGTTTTCCCCAGTCTGTCTAACAGTATTGTTTCTAGCTCTGTCTCGGGTGGCTAAAAAACTTCCCTCTGTTTTCCCCAGTATGTCTAACAATATTGTTTCTCTTTGTCTCGGGTGGTTAGATAGGCGACTTTCCTCTGTTTTCCCCAGTCTGTCTAACAGTATTGTTTCTCTCTGTCTCGGGTGGTTAGATAGACGACTTTCCTCTGTTTTCCCCAGTCTGTCTAACATTATTGTTTCTCTCTGTCTCGGGTGGTTAGATAGACGACTTTCCTCTGTTTTCCCCAGTCTGTCTAATAGTATTGTTTCTGGTTCTGTCTCGGGTTGTTAGATAGACGACTTTCCTGTTTTTCCCAGTCTGTCTAGTGGTATTGTTTCTGGCTCTGTCTCGGGTTGTTAGACGACTTTCCTCTGGCAGTTGCTTTGAATTACGAGTTTTGTTGTTTGCTTTTGATGTACTTCGACTTTGAAGAAGGCTCCCAATTATTCGACTCTTAAGACATGTTTGTTGGGAAGGCAGTGGGTCAAATCTTGTTTTCCCCCACAATGGAACCTTGCAACCCACACGTTGAATTTACGAGTGCTGATTTTACCTGCAGCATATTTTGAAATGACAGAGAAATGAAAACTGTACACACCAGGAAGAATAATATTCGTAGACCACGAGGCAGACCAAGAAGACGATGGAGAGATAATGTCCAGACAAAGATGCAAACACTTGGTGTCAGCAATTGGAAAGAGAAGACCAACCAGAAAGATGAGTGGAGGCGGGTGATATCGGCAGCAATGAACCTCAAGGGCTCGGAATGCTGAGGAAGAAGAAGAAGAAGAAGAAGAAGAAGAAGAAGAAGAAGAAGAAGAAGAAGAAGAAGCAATTTTAAATTGTGTATGCGCGCGCATGCAACCTATCATTTGTTGCTACGCGGACATACTTATGTTTGGATGTCTTTTTAATAGTGCCAGTTTGTTTCGTCTCTCCTAAAAGGGCCTCCGTGGCCAAGCCGTTTGACTCGCACACTGAAGGTCTTGTGCTATTTACATGGAATACGTCGTTCATATCACTGGTGCAATGTTTACGGAGATCCCTGGGGATCACGCTGAAGCTACGGAGTTTGTGTTTTACGTGACGTTCTCAACAGGTGGCTAGTCGTTCTGCAGAGAGACCAAGCCATATGGAATATAACCGGGTGCAGTGAAGTCAGTGCTTTAGAATTTCCTTTTTATTTTATACCAAGCCCCAGTATATATATTAATATACCAACTAACACCGTTATTAAGACATCCAAACATAAGCCTCAACGCCCCCCCCCCCCCCAAAAAAAAAAAGATTATAAACAGCAGATGCATACCAACACTGTGCTACCAGTGCCAGACTTGGACATTATCAAAGGTTAACCTACGTAAAATAAGTCGTCCCTATGTGGGATGCAATTTTTCGTTATTTGAAGGCCCATTTTGGCATTTGCATTTACGATTATAATTACCTAACCCTCATCAGCAACAGCTAAAAATACTGGTATTTGATCTGCAACGTCCATGCAACTAATTTTTTTTTTTTTTTCAATTACGATTATAATTACTAAAATCATTTCTCATATACAATTTCACCTATCCTCACTTCACTGCAGGATTTCTGCTGAAAATGCCGGTCTGGAACGCCCCGAAAGACGATCGCTTGTTTGATGATGTGGAAAACTGGGAGGTGCCCGACGAGGAAGGCTTGCCCAAGGAAAACACTTCTAGCCACTACAAAGTATCTCACGGACCTATCGAAACTCGCATGTAACATTTATCACTGATTGGCTGGTCTTTGTTTACATTGTGCCTGCTTCATAACTGGTGCTGTCTGGTACAAACAGGTGATAAAGCAGGCAGGGGCACCAACACAAAGAAAACAGGAGGAGGAGGGGGGGGGGGGGTGGAGAAGTCCACAGTCCCATACAAATATTCTAGAGGACTCGATGAATCTAAGCCTTCTTTAAATGTGTAATAATGTTATCTTATCACAATAGACGTCACTGCACATTGGGCATTCCCATGCGTGCTCATTCATCTGATACAGCAGCCACTCAAAGGTAAATATTGTTTCCTGTCCTTGCCTCGAAGACAGCATAGACGTGCTTCACTCCTAGGTCACACAACAGAGATTCAACACTGTTCCAAAACCTAGTTAGTACAGCGTTGATAATATCGGCTTTGTCCATGCTTCTTCCTGTGTGTTTAATACAATATATATTTTGTTCAAAAATATCCTCCCAGTGTGTATTTTAGTTCAAAAACGAATAGACCCCCTCCACCCCCCCCCCCCAAAAAAAAAAACCAAGTATGTCATATAAGGCGACTAATTGGGTGTTTTTTTTCTTTTGAAATCGAAGTGGATTGCCTGAGAGGTAAGAATGAACAGTCTGCCGGATCTATAAAACAGATGTACATGCAAAACTTAAGTTCTGGAACAAAAGCTGAATTCAGAAGAGGACGAACAACCAGAACTTTCTGTCTGAGTCGATAGCTGGTGAACGGGAAGAAGTTCTAAAAGATCTGAACTCTGAGAAAACATGGCTCCTAAAAATAATCTTCCTTCAAAAAACTTAAATACTGTGGCCATATAAAATACCACAATGGCTTGGAAAGAACAGTTATGGAAGGCATCATACCAGGTAGGAGAGGCAGAAGCTGACCAGAACAATGGCGGGCATGGGACTTGAGAGATAGCTTGGGCAGCAAAGTACCAGAGGTATGAGAGCTGGCGAGGGATCTAGTTTCTCCAGGTAGACTGTCATGGGAGCGTCTTCTGTAAAGGCCCTCCTACACGACGATGACATTTTTGTTTTGTTTATATCTTCTGCAATTATGTTTATGTTTTT